ATATCAGAAAATCAAATATTTTGTGATCATGATTTTTTGTTTCAAATGTTGTTTGGAAGATTTAGCAAACAACTTTCAACAGAAATGTCATTATCAAAATTTATGCAAATTTAATTCATGGATAATGGGACAATAAACGCCTATCAAATGTCATATAGTCTGACTAATTGTATGACAAAAGAAATATTTTCAAAACGAACAAAGAGCTATAACGCTTAACTAGAGAGGGGCAAGACGTTATTTCTGTATGGGTAACTAAACCTTACCTAGATACATAATATTGTCGCGTGAAAGAGTTGATATCAAAAACGAACAAAGGGTCAAAAACTCGTATATCATTGGTCGCAGAACTCTTTATTTCAATACGCAACACTCTTTGTACTAAAGACACAAAATTAGAATGAAATAGCCTTGGTATTATTTGATTTTTGACAGTTACCAAAGGGCCATAACTACGTGTATTGTTGAGGGTTGTTAAATTTTATTATGCTACAGGACGTCTTTCGAAACTTAAACATATATACTCCAGATAAACTTAAATTTCAAAGGGCCTTAACTCTGTTGTTCCAAGAACATATTTCAATCCGCAACACTACGCCTTTCTGAAATGATAATTATATCAATTCATTTAATTCTATCTAATGAGCCACAAGACGCGACTTCATTAAATGGCACGCACATTCGAAACGTTCAAAAGCACTTTCAGTTTTGTAAATAATTGTGAAATATGAAGATTTTAAGGTTTATATTGAACTTCATTGAACATTACCTCATAAAAAATAGTGCCTTTTCTGCTACAAATTGCTTTAAGTTGAAGACGAAAATATATATGTATGGCTGAGAGAAGAAAAAAAATTATATTCATTTTATTGCAGGGGCACGGCAAATAGACATACAGCCAGCAAGAGGTTAAAAAAGATAAAGAAAACATAAAAAATACAATTTACAGCCAAATGTGTATTCTGGAGCAGAAAAACTGTGAAATACCTACATATGTACACACTTGAAACATATAATCAAAATCCAGAAGTTCCAAACGGATAGAAAACAAATTTTGACTATTATTGATGACGACTTGTTCGGTTATTCATTGTTGACAAACAGACATGTCTGATATAACACCTGTTACAGTTGTGTAGTTAAATTGGGTTTATTAGTGTATAATGACAAGTATCAGTACGTCCAAAGAGTGTGATTGCAAAGTTTCAACTCATACATACTTGTGAACAACGATTTTATTTCTAAATAGGTTATAAACAGGAGAGATTTAATTTCGTTAAAATGTAAAATCAAACTTGGATTTAAGCTCCTGGTACTGGCATGTTATTATTTATAAATTTAAGGGCCCACTTGCAGCACCTCTAATACTTCCGTCAATATCCTGTATAAAATTTTGTTATTTTGCATGTTGCTTACGTTGGCAATGTACTAAGTGTCTGTACAAAGTTTTAAATCGAGCAATGGTTGTATTTTGAAAATATAACAAACAGAATGTTTGCACTAATCACTGTTTCGCTAAACACTCTTTGAACAACAGGGTCCAGGACCTTTGCTGCATATTAGAGGTACATGCATAATTTTGAGACAATTGGCAGACATTTTTGTTTTTCTTTTGTGAAAATGAATGGCGTTTTATAAAGTCTTAAGAACGTAAAATTATACTTTTTGATGAAATTGAATCATCACAAATTGAATACAAGTCTTTTTTAATGACATTACATGATAATAGAACGTTAATTTAAAAAACCAAACTGGCTGTAACATCTCAAAGGTTGAACAGAAAAATATGATTCCCAAAAGTCACGAAGTCTTCCAATTTGTTGAAAACAATGGGAACAAACCGTAGTGTCGAAGGTATAACTAAAACACTCATTGGAAATGCATCAAACAGAACGGTGTTGCTTCATCTGGATCGATAGTCAAACAAGAACAGAGAAGAGATATGTTAACACGTAACAATTAATGAAAACATTTTTATTAAACGGATTTATACGGCTCCTAGTGGAAGACGTGTTGTACCCTTGGAGATATGGACGTGTGTACATAACAGTTGACATCAGAGGTACGGGCCTTATTGCCACACGCGGATAATGTATAGCAAAATACCCCACTAATACTACATATTATGCCATAATATTCAATTCAGACCAAAGTTTACTCCACTTTAAGCTGTTATGATTGAACAACCAAGTGATATATATACATTTAGTCTTGTTCAATGATACAATAGTAAAAGTGGGAGGTTCCTATATTTTCTTTTTAACAGTAGCTAGCCTTTGGTACGCTTATCTTTGGCCGTTTTAACATTATTGCTCCATAATACAGTTGTTCTGTTAGGGCAACATTGATATTATAAGTGATTCATAAAACCACCAGATCGACGTCCTTTCAGAAGTTATTTACTTAATGCTCTCGTTTCTATTATATATCACAGTTTTTAGCAAATCGAATGTACGTGATTACAACGCACACGAAAATACGCCATGTATGCGATGCATGCTCGAAGGAATACGTCGAAGGTGTAACATCAAATTAAAGGTAAGAATACTTATTTAGATGACCAATTATTATTAATTTGCATGTAACTCCTTTACATTGCATAGCACCCAGTCCATGGAATGTCTTTAGGAGACACAGAAGAAATTATATAAGAAACAGACCTGCTGTATCCCACTGCATGTGTATCGTCAAAGGCGACTAATGTGTGCCTTCCTAGATAATCGGTTCATATTGAGACAAATCTGATATAATGAGATCATGCAGCGCTACCTCAAACAACTTTCTGACATCACATTTATGTAGAATTCTATCCGTACAGAAAAGTCAAATTGCTCTTTTGGTACAGGAAAACAAACTAGTTCTTTAATTTGATAAGGTATTGGAAAGTTCAATGAAATTTACATCAATATCGATCGCCGCATGTTTGATATCCGTCATTATATCAAATGGAAAATTCCTGAAGAAAAAATTGGGTCGTGTTCGCGGAAACTTCTCACACCTCTTTTCCACCTAGGTTATAAGAGGATATTTCAATTTCATCACATTTATGTAGAATTCTATCCGTACAGAAAAGTCAAATTGCTCTTTTGGTACAGGAAATTTCAGGGACATTAGTTATTCAATTATCGTCAATGTAGACTGTACATACATAGTTTAATAATGTATCGTAATTAAGTACAATATTGATTCGGACAGTACTGAATTAATAAGTTCGTTCTATTAAAGTTATATATATAAATGTGATTAGTATATCGTTGGTAATAATTATTGTTTTACAGGTATTTCATTTGGATGCCAAAGCAGTCCAAAAAACATTTGATTCTTTAGATATGAATATCTGTTTACCGTTCTATGGCAATGTTCAAAAAGCCAAGGGGCTGATCTGAAATAAGCAGAGTATTAGACCGAAGTCCTATGTTTATCGATCGAAATTTGTAATATATTAGTGTTAAAGAGTAAAAGCAAATAAACCTTGGCAAAATGAGGATTTAAAAACCCCACTAAAGAGCAAATGTTAAGTGTGACATTTAAATTCAAATTATTCATTAGATTAGTTTTGTAGAGGAGCTCTTTTGGCTCATGTATTTTAAACTAGCTGTAACTTTTAAAAACACACACACAAAAAGTCAGTCCCACTGATTGCGAAACGAAAATCGAAAACCGTTCCCTCCTTTCTCCATTTTCTTATTGATTGTTTTTTTTTATTACACCATTTTACTAAAAATCACCAATATGTAAGTTTATTTGTATAAAATTGTCGATTTTATATTATTACTAATATATTATTTATATAAAATGATGGAAATATAATAAAAAAAATACATGTATTATTACCTTTTTAAAAAAAAAATTCTCTGTTCGTCGGTCATAACAGCACATCTTATTAAAATTTAATGCAACATTAATTTGTTTATTAGAAAACACAGTGTTTATTATTATAAACTAACATAAGTATTGAAATGTTGGCAGTATGAATAGGTGATGTGCATATGCTAAAAATCGGGAGGTGTCTTATGAAAACGGGCGACATCCCTCATCAGAAAATCCTAAGATTATATGTGAAACTCGGGGGGGAAAAAATCTGCATCGATCTGTTCGGAGATATACACATAAAGGTGTCGATCATAGCACCACATTTTTTTGCAAATAAGCTACATATTATGTATTCTGTGTTTGTTTTAAAACACAGTGTTGATTTAAATAAACAAAAATACAAACTAAAACTAGTCTTGAACTGTTGGCGGTTTCATACATGTAATTTGTAGGAAGGTGTATTCTGAAAAAGGGTGGTATCCCTAATCACAACATCTTAGCCCAGCATCATGGAGATATTGTTTCTCACAAGTTTACTTCAAAATAATTACAAAAAAAACTATTTTCTTTTTATTAAATCCTGATATATTTATCTTGTTTCTGGTCCTGATAGTTAACAACATCGATAAAAATTCAGTTAAACAAATTTAAACAAATCGGCCCAACCAACAACCTGTTTTAGCCTGCCTGTGTATATGGAGGGTAGGTCATACATTCAATTTATTAGCTTACCTGTTATTTGAAGAAGGGGTGCATTTATATAGTTGATTTAAATGTCTGACAATTGTGTGTTCCCGTTTGTAATCTAGAAGTTACGTAATGTAGTGATCCCGGCCAAACTGTTTGGCTTCTCTTTCCTAAACTAGATCAATACTGATGTTTTTTCTTCGATTGATGTTTTTACTAATACATCATGCATTGTGACATCCTCAAAATTGAAGGCACGAGGATAGCTGTTTGATTGGTCTCAGGTAAAAAATACTCATCAATCACTAGGCTAATACCTGTTCTTAAAAGATTACAAAGGAGAGACGCCCGACTTCAAAGCCTGTCAATTTTTACCGTTACGTGACCGAGAGATTCTTTTGAGGTACCTCAAAGGATTGAACTAGTCTTCTTGTCTCATCAACATGGTGGCGCACACCGAGCCTTCAATTTTGCTATGACATATTCCAGGGTGCAGAGAGCGAAAGTGAGCGTAACCCCTGGATATCGATGATGGCATTGTGAATGTCACAAACGCAGGTAAGCTGCGCAATTGTGTAGAAAAAAATCACGTTGATTGAAGGCGTGTCAGCATGGGTAATGCACAGTCTATGGAATAGATTAACACTATCTGACGTCATATCACGTGATCTTGTATGATACGCAAAATAAGCATATTCTCTAGGCTATCATATGAAAACCGATGAAGACGAGAGACGGAATCTCGGTGACGAAGCCGTCATACGACCGTTAAATATGAAATCATACATAGCCGTTGCAATTTTCAAGTGTACGGTGCAGTGTAATTGATATTTTTGGCATATTGTATAAATAACTAAAATGTATAGGTGTATTCGTATATAATAGCGCTGTATGAAAGTGCACTCACGTAACACGTTTTGGTGGACAGAAACCCTCTCAATTTTTTCCATGCCGTGTTTCAAGAAAAAACATCAACCACAGATAGCTTTACTCATATAAGGTTATATATATGGTTCTAAATAGAATATTCATGAATGAAGAAAGATTGTTTTGTTTACGATTTCCAGGCTGTTAATTATCAACGTAACACATATGTATGGACGGAACGTTACGTGAGTGACACTATAAATTTATCGCCGTTTTATTCTTAATTTCTATGAAAACATCTTGAAATCAATTTGCCTAGATGATAGTAGTATATCTCCAGTTAGATATAAGCTCTAATGAAGTGAGTTTATGTATATATTTATAAATCCCCACACAGTAATGGAAGAAGTTGTTTTTTTGTCCCAAAATGGCAGTTATTTTTTCATCAATAACGACCACATTATGTCAGATTTTTCTGCCGTGAAACACAACAGGAATCTGAAATTATCAACAGTATCTCTTTATTATCTGTTCAAAAAAAGACATATTTGAACATACACATAATTAAAAAGTTTAACAGTAATTATCTCCACAATTAGGAAACCGCTTAACGGGTCATGAAGTGAAAAAAGAGCTATGTGTGTGTGTCGAACGTTCATAATTCAAGAAATTGATCAGCATTCAATCTATAAGTACGATTTGGTAGACGCTGCTGATTGATTTCCCATTCCCTGAGGTTGCCACATTTATCTCTTTTGAGTAGTGGCAGGATTTAAAATATACACACTTTACAATAGCCAGCCCTACCTTATGTTGAAATTCATTTTAATAAGGGGATTTATGCATGTCTCTTTCTTTGTTAATAGTAGTTAGAGCAATTTCGATTTTCACTCTTTTGGCCCCCTAGCATTACCTAGATTACCTAGAAGTACGAATCAGCTGTATGGTGTAGTATTAAGAGTAGAATTAATTTTGGCATGATGTTATCCTTTAAGTGATTGTTTAGGACCAATCACATGGTAATGTCTTACGTTCGTTCGATAAAAGTATTTGTATAAGATTTAAAAACTTCTCTCCCGGAAAAAAGCAATGAATCAGTTGCTATCTTTAGGGAGTCTCGTGCACATTGTATCGTCGTCATGATAGGTATGAAAATAGGCTTATCTAGGTAAGGCTGTATCCCAGGGGCCAAGAACTCTTTTTGACGGTAGGTGAGCCCCACGTTGCTGTCAAAGGGTGGCCTCATTTTTCCGTAAGTATGGACCTTCTAGAACATATTTCAGCTGGCCACTACTCTGGGAAATCCACTGGGGATTGTATGTTAGGTCATATATAACCTTACCTTGGCAAAAAATGTGATTTTGAATAAAGGGGGTCAGGGGTTCATAAAGTGCTATATCATTTCTCATCATCGTCATATGAATAATTAGATGGTATATATAGATCATGTATGCATCAATTAAAATTTTGGTATATAAAGTTTACAGTTTGACCTCCATTCCAAAGGTCAAATCAAGGTCAAAGGTCAAATAACAGCAAAAAGTATTGTTTTTTCCCCAAACCACTCTTTATTGTTAATTGTCCTTTCAACAAAAATACAGAAATATGTGTGTACTATAAATGCAACTACAAGCACCCTATCAAACATCCTCAATCTCAATGTCTGTCTCTATTTTTTAGGACTATGTGTAAAGACAAAAAAAAAAAAAAATATTGACACATCAAAAGCAAAGATGGAAAAAAAACTAAAACCATGTATAGCACTGCAATGATTTTAAATCATTACTGATTACAGCAACATGGATTATCATTATACTCAATCACCCCTTTTCAACGTTCAGCAAGGGAGTTAATTGTAATCGGTACTGTGTATGTTCATCATGTGAAATCTAGACACAACTTTTCACAAAACCTCTCAGTTAAAATATGAAACTACTTAAACAAAGCAATTGAGAGTTATACCATTCATTCAATACAAAATCTAACAAACCAATTTGTGTCTTCTCATCCAATGCAATGAAGTATACTGAAATATGTTTTAGTTGAACATTTTGCCACAACACATCTAGGCAAACTTAAATGATATAGCACTTTCTGTAACCCTACCCCCCTTTTTTCCCAAAATGTCATAGGTTGTATATGACCCCACAAAAAAACCCAGTGGATTTCCCAGAGGGATGGCCAGCTAAAACATGCTCTAGAAGGTCCATACTGATGAAAAAATGAGGTCACCCTTTGACATCAGGGGGGGGGGGTGCTCACTTAACCCCTCTGTGCTTTTTTTTTAAATACGTTTTTTTATATCTAATTAGACATAATGAGTTCAATTCGTTATTTTTTTAACTTGATATATTTACCTACTTTAGGTGAGATAAAAAAAAAACACGTCAATAAACAAGGAAAATAAAAAAAAAGTTTTCCTAGGGAATGAATACAAACATTTATGGTTCAAATAATTTTGGATATACAACACATTTAAATATTTACATTCTGTATGCTTAGACCCATTGACAAAAATTACATTCATAAATGCATAACACAGGTGTTCATAGAATCTCAGCACGTGGGAACTGATAGTAACCTGATCACACTGCGTAGTTATACACTACAAAAACTACTCACTCGGAACGACCGAACTAGATGCTTAATTCTTACATCTTAAAATATTATTGAACTGTGCTTTGTGAAATATCCACGTATTCACGTGTCCTGTGCTACAAATAAACATTGAATATGGAACTACATTTTGTTGTGTTATTGTTGTTGACGGTTGCTAAGATCTCTCACGATAGTGTCACATTTCCCCGCGAAAAAACACTGTTCTCGCCACTGCGTTGCACCCGTGTATAAGCAGGAACAAACCCTGTTTATTTGTTTTATTCGTTGTTATATCGATCCACTGAAAGGATTCGTCAATGTAAATATAAGGAATGATATTTATTTTTTCAACATTTATGAGGTCATAACAACAACGGGTTTTTGGACATATTTTACATGAATCGCTAACGCGATTCATTCAATATGTCCATAAACCCATTGTTGTTATGACCTCATAAATGTTGAAAAAATAAATATCATTCCTTAAATAAACTCTCCAGGTAGTGTGGGGAAAAGCAATGGTAGCCTACCACATACGTCCCTTTATAGTTGGCCGCTTATAAAAATTGGCGCTGTCTGTCAACGGTAGTTCCGGTTTGAGCTCGTACGCACCGTTCCAATGTAAACAATCCGAATATTGCGTGACTATTAACGTCTATGTTTAATCACCATTATTATCATGTAGGCGTTGTGTGTATATGGTTAAATGTGTTGTGTAGCATATATTCGCTTTGTATTAGCAGACATGTAATCGTTTTGATACCTTTGTCAACATTTTTTTTTCGAGAGAATCTCCTGCTGTACTGTACAGTAACCACAGGGATTCGTTACAGATATCTCTGAAATACACATATATCATGCTGTACTGATATGGGTCATAGCACACATAAACTTTGTGTTGTTATCCATATCAGTAGCATATGTGTATTTCGGACATTTGTAACGAACCCCTGTCCTGTAAGTTAACCGTCTAAACACCGATTTGGGAAATAGATCCCTCTACTCCAGGGCCTAGAGATATGTTCTGTGTCTGAGTGATCAGCCTATTACGTAATCATAAGTGGCACACCTGTACTATAGTGTTTGCCGGCGACGCACATAACCGTGGATACTGAAGTCAAATCAAAGGTCTTCTTGCACTTTTACTTGAGAGGGGGGAGGGGGTAACAAAGCACAGGGGTTAGTTACAAATATTATGCTTAACTCATATGGGTCACACAGCATAAAGCTATAATAAACAGTGACTTTAAAGGTGAATTTGGGGTCTTTTTAGTTTTAAACATGCATATTTGATTATATGTCCTGTGACAGTAAATGTGTGTATTTTAGTCATTTGTAAAAGAATAAACTGTGATCTTAGCAAGAAAATATTTTGATATCCAAGTTAATAGATATTTATTGAATCATAACTAATTGTTGAACAGAAAATTATATGTACATGTCAAGATGTATTTAAGTGTGTGATTCACATTTGCTTCTGTAATTATCCATAGACAATGTAATATCTAACACCTGTGGAGAGGTCATATTTGATTGAAAGTCAACCTTTATTTACATCCCAATTCTTACTCAGAACAATTTTGAGAAGCTGATGCACTTTAACAACTGGCAACTGTGATTTATCTGTACAGTACAGTTCAACGATACAAGTTCCAGAGGAGTCATCTTCTTTTCTTTCCACTCAAACATCTGAACTAAGTACAACTTGTCAAGTGTATACATGTATTTATTGATGTCTAAACTCAGTTCATAACATGTAGTGACGTACAAGATAATACACATATCAACTTTGAAATATGCACACATTTAACATATTTGTCATCTATATAAAATTATCCATTTTGATGAGCTCACTAACTTCTCTAAGAGATATAATGGGTTCTCAAAAAGTAAGCCAAGTCACACAAAGGAAAAAGTCCAGGAATCAAATACTTATAAAAACATCAATATAACAAATTGAATAAAAACATAAAATAACTAATTAGATGAAATGAGTATCACACAAAATAAGAAAAAAGTAATTCATAAGTTATTACATACAAAGTTCTGTGTCCCTCTAATAATATCAAACAAGGGTTTGTAAATAGATGAAAATACCTGAGCTGCACATACATTTAGGTTTTCTTGTTTTCAAATAAACATTTGACAAAAAGTGTATCCAGTTCTTTAATATTGATTAATCATTCTCTTATACGGCCTGCTTCTCAATATATATGTATACTTTAATATTGATTAATCATTCTCTTATACGGCCTGCTTCTCAATATATATGTATATTTATATATACATTTTATACATGATCCTGTAATATGAAGTAATCTAAAAATCTTAAGTACAGGACATTGCAGACAGTATAATTCACTTCTGTAAGAGCTCATACAAATTTGTCATGGAACAACATATCATAATTATTTGTTCAGCTAAATGAACTTCGACGTATGTGGTAGCACAGATTGTAATATCTTGAAGTTCTTGATTTGCTCCATTTTCATTTTAACAACAATCCTCGGAGCAGCTATTTGTTGAGTTTTAAAGAATTCCTGTACACTCATCTGACAACTAGATCATACAAATGGTGGCATATTTAGACCTATTTATTTAGGAAGTAAATCTCGTACATTGAAGCCTTGCAAGAATAACATCTCCAGGTCCTAACTTTGGTTAGAAGAGGTCACCATCTTTTTGCACAATATGTCTGCTATCTGATACATGCCCTCCCCAAATCCTTGACACAAACGTTACTAGACCATTGGGTGCAACACCAATTAAACCTGCATAAGTGTTATGGTGTTGTATTCACTCCATGTAAGAAATTAAGCCTCCATGTTTCCCGGTTTCTCGCAGAAGCATCTATAACTATGCAAACCCGAGTCATTTCTGTAAAATGTTTAGGCAAATTGCTTAAAACTTGTTCTCTAGATGGCCATGGGATAAGTGACTGCATGTGATCAAATATAAAATTAATCCATGTTTTTAAGGTCCGAGAGACACACTAAATAAATATGCAAGAAACTTTGCCGAAGACCATGCTTCAACTTTGAACACAATACTCATCAATTGGGCATAGGCTCCTTTTCTTCCCAGGTTCTCAATTTTTGATTGGTAGTGGAGTCCTTTTTCCCTCTTCCTAGAAGGTCAACTTTTCTGCACCATGCTTACAAAAAGTAGTAAAAAACAATAAAAATGTTGCATAATTTGGATAACCAGTATAATATTTTGTCTTCTCGTCATCGTTTTCAATCATCTCTGGTTTAAAAATAGGAACAACTGTCTGTGATGCAGATGATTTCATACATTTGGCGTTATTTAATTGTGTCTTGTGTAGCATCATCACTTACATTTACATCTGATGTCTAGACATATACGGAATCCCCAACTATAGGGTCAGTCTGTGTTTCAGAACTCTCCTTTTAAGACAAGAAACTAATGGAGTAGATATACATGATGTAACCTCACAGGGAATGTTTTCAGTGTTCTCAAATTCACCTTGTTTGCATATATTTTCAAAATGTAAATTGCGAAGTCTAGAGTTTGAGCCAATTGGAGTATTTGGTCGCACAAGTTTGATTTTTTGAATCCACAATGATCTTGGTTATTTTATCAGCACTGTCACCTGATGGAATGCAATGAGGTTTTATAGTTGTACCATCCTCACAATTTTTTCCTGCATAGTTGGAGCACAGTAAACAATATCTTTTTCCTCCTTTGACAATGATAGAATCTGAAACCATATAAAGGGATTTATCATGCTATTGTGTTTTTTAATGGTAATGTTTTAATATTTTTCACAAGAATAGTTTACACATTCAAACCTGCACATCAACATGGACAAGTGTTGTGATACTATTCCAAAAAGAAAGGATTTCTTGTTTTATACAAAAGGAATTAAAAGCACATCAAGAAATGATAAAAATCTCTGAAGTAGTGTCTGATTTGCATGTTGTAATCATTGGATCAGACATACACAGGTGAAAGCATTCTAAAAATAGATTTGTTAACCTATGCATGATTTTACTGTGACTGGGATTACAATTGTATGTTTTATCAAATTATAAACAAAAGAAGAGAACCCATTTTGATAAATGTTGCTTACAAATGTAGTCTATAATCTCTTTATCTTGTGACAGTGAATGGTAAACCATTTTTATTATTGTTATTTCCTTAAAAGACCTTTTCTTTAACTTACTTGTGTACCCATCAGTGATTTCTGTCTATGTGAACCCCCCACCCCACCCCTCTAAAAAAGGTGCGATCATTCAAAATGTACTTTGTAAGAGGTGAGAAATTGTTGGTTATCTGACGACAATAACATAAAAATAAGTTTAGTGGGATCATGGTTCTTGCAGAATAGTCCCGGTGGGAGTAAAGCGTTTTTGTTTTGCTGAAAAAACGTATCTGGATAGTGTCCATAACGTTACGTTTGCACCTTGATATAAAGACGGGCTTATTTCACAGAATGAACATTTATTTAATGTGGAATCTTTCCTCAAAGAATAAGGAAGTTTACCTTTATCGTCCATGTTATCTGCTCGATCATGAAGAAATCTTTGATATTGAATGGCAATCCCGCATTATGATGGTCCTACGTCATCAAATGTCATCAAAACGACATTTATAGATTGACACACTGAAGATGTCAACACCCTCACAACGTAGACGCCAAACCTTGGTTACACCGGAACTACCTTACGCGCGTCAGCAACTTTTGTCACAAGTGTGGTGGTGTTTGAGGCGCGTCAAAGGGACGTAATGCGGAAGGCCATTGATCGATAAAGAGCAACATTGATTATAATTGATACTGATGAAATCTCACACGCTGGTCCTGTTACAAGATGTTACAACAAGTGGATATGTACAATCTTGTCTAAGCTTTGGTGTCAAAATAGCGCCTACATTTTAACAGATGTATACGCTTGCTTGTCATTTGCCTGATGAAAGTGGTTGAATACACACGGTAATTATCACTGAAATATTGGTTATGCTACACACTTCTTTATCACATAACTGACCCATTTTACTATGCCAGACAGCCATATCATACATATGGTATTACACCCGTGTAATAAAACCTAAGAGTCATGCGATTGGTCAAAACCGTTGGAATGTATTCTTAGCCACTATAGGTACTATTTTTATTTAACTGTATTTTTTCTGATACATTTTGTTATGTTTTTGCTGTTTTTAAATTTAAGAATGAAATATTGAATTTGTCATTATTATTTTCATTGCGTTTAATAAATTCATTATGACATTGACACTCATGTAAGATCCTCGATATATGCAATACTTTGATGCCTCGTTATTGAAAAATAAACTGATATGTGGAAATATTTATCACGACAATAACTAAATCAAATCTATAAGACTGGGTATAGTAGCAACATGATATGTTCTTACTCTGTCATTTTCAGGACTTGGTATTTACACCATAACATTAGGAATAAACCAACTTTTTGGAATATATCTTACGACTCATTGTTATGATATTAATACTATGTATTGCTGTATACACGTCATTCTAAATATTGACCAAATCCATTATCATCAAAAATAACGATATGTCGACTTGCTTCTCTCGCTCATTTAAAAACAAATATTGATAAAGTATTGTTGTATATTATTCACCATGTTTTTCAAACCCGTCTGTAATATCTATTACATGAGTCTTTAAACTTTTTTTCAAAAGAAACTTGTCGCCTTTCTAATCTAGCCAACACCAACCGTTAGACAATCATGATGCTGCTGAAAATCCTGATTTTGTTACTTCAAATATCTGCCTTAGTGGCAAGTAAGTAGAACTTTTATAATAATTTTGTTGATTTTATTTCTACTGTTATGCGAGGTGATCATTTGTTTATATCAATATCAGATTTGCTAATCAATATATGGCCAGTAATGTTGTACTAAATAGTGCATGCAAATGAGTATGATTATTTAAGGAACGTCTGATTTGTAGCCACATTTTGTAACAAATTTTACCTTTATCTATCATTATTAGAAATTTTATCTACATGTCATTTTTGTTGTGACCTCGTGCGTACCTTTAACTTTTCTTACCTTCAATATATATTATATTTGTTTTCATTAAACAAATTTTATTGTGTTTTTGTAAGGACAGCGTGGTGAATAAAAGTAATTTATGTATATTTTATATATTGTAATATATTGATAATAGCCGAGACCGATCCGAAATAGGATCGTGAAACAGACTGTAGATATCGATAGTGAAACTAAATGTATTTATGATAACTAGATAATTTAACATATAAAACAAAGGAAATTCTTCCAGCCTAAAAGATATTGCTTGTTGGTCCGGTATAATATGCAATACATCTTCGACTGAAATTATTTTTGTTCTAATTAATCTTCCTATGTCAGATGAACGTGTTCGTTTGGTTCATGGTCGGACACGAAATCAAGGCCGTGTAGAGATACACCACAACGGACGATGGGGAACTATTTGTGATGACGGTTTCGGGAATGCTGAAGCAATGGCAGTTTGTAAACTACTTGGCTACAGGTAAGCATGATGTTTTCTTAGCTGTATACATAACTTGACGAGTTCATGTGGAACGAAAACTGTGATAAGCTTTCTAATGTTGGGTATGTTGATAACTCAACCGTGTCTAGTGTTCAGATGCTATGAAAGATCGCTATACAAATTCCGAAATATGTTTCAACTTGGATGAATCTGGTATATTTAAAATATATCATTGCTTAATTTAAACAGGTCTTAGTAAAGCACCGGAATTATCAAGAACACTTTTATTTCCTTAGAAAAACAAGGGTTTTCTTTATTTCGACATTTTTTTATATTAATTTTCGTTCATTTGTTTAGTTATTCTATTTATTCTATTCACAACAGATATGGCACCTCTCTTGATAAAGCCTTTTTTGGAAGCGGTAACGGATCTATATTTGTGGATAATCTGGATTGTTCTGTTGACCAATCTTCAATGCTCTCCAAAGGCCCACATACATTGCAACTTGGGGGAAAGCTTTGTCGTTTTAGCGGATGGGGTGTACAAAATTGCAGTCATCATGACGATGTTGGAGTCGTGTGTGAAGGTATATTTTATCTGCTGTTTATAATCACTTAATTCCATTCACATATTTGATTGTTTTGAAACGATACTCAATTTGTGTACAATATCGTTCAAACGAAATGGAATTAGTGACAACTTTTGTATATTGAAAACAATATACTTCGTTCACACCACTTATTTTACAACTATCAGCTATCCGAAACTATTATAAAGCTGTATATGGAAATGATCGGCATTTGACAGAAGTATCAACCGGCCTATATATCGTTTATTTAATGATCCAGACATAAGTGTTGTCAACAACTCAACTTAAATAAAGATACCCCGAAGTCTCGACAGATTTAGATTACATATTATGAAATAACTAACGAACTGCCCAAGTAAATATCTTACATATCATAGGTAGTCAGGGAATCATGCTAATATATTCTTAATTTCTTGGTTATGAATAGAAGATTTATTTTTAATTTGACCTGAATGATGCTTAGTCCTATTATTATGAGTTTATTAAAGGGAAAATCAATTAAGACGAAACATTTGATATAATATCTTAAAAAAAAAGCTGTTAAGATATCTTTATCTTATTAAGGCATGTTTATTAATAGATGTCAGATGGATAATACTGCATGCAAATTATTATGATTATTTAAGGAATGTCTGATTTGTAGCCACATTTTGTAACAAATTTTACCTTTATCTATCATTATTTGAAATTTTATCTACATGTCATTTTTGTTGTGACCTCGTGCGTACATTTAACTTTTCTTACCTTCAATATATGTTATATTTGTTTTCATTAAACAAATTTTATTGTGTTTTTGTAAGGACAGCGTGGTGAATAAAAGTAATTTTTATATATTTGTTATATTGTAATATATTGATAATAGCCGAGAACGATCTGAAATAGGATCGTGAAACAGACTGTAGATTCCGAAAGTGAAACTAAATGTATTTATGATAACTAGATAATTTAACATATAAAACAAAGGAAATTCTTCCAGCCTAAAAGATATTGCTTGTTGGTCCGGTATAATATGCAATACATCTTCGACTGAATTTGTTTTGTTCTAATTAATCTTCCTATGTCAGATGAACGTGTTCGTTTGGTTCATGGTCGGACACGAAATCAAGGCCGTGTAGAGATACACCACAACGGACGATGGGGAACTATTTGTGATGACGGTTTCGGGAATGCTGAAGCAATGACAGTTTGTAAACTACTTGGCTACAGGTAAGCATGATGTTTTCTTAGCTCTATACATAACTTGACGAATTCATGTGGAACGAAAACTGTGATAATGTGACGGTCAAGTGGTCAAGACTCTGTGTCCAAACTCAACTTGAGAACAACCTAAGGTAGCGTGGTTACCATCACAATATAATGGGTGGGTAGTAGACTCTTGCCTACTACCCAGATACTGACGACTCAGTTGCACCAATTAAACACCTTGGTTTAATTTTATCAACTTTACTAAGAGGCAACTATAATGCAGAATTACAGGTACAAACTCGACCATTTATTAAATATTCATCAATTCATAGAATACAACAGTTTTCCCACTCGCATATAGCTTTGGATTATACAACTTGTAAAACAACTTCCTTAAATACTCCTATTCCATCAGTACTTTCTCACAATAATAAATAGTTCAATTCTCACCATACAGGCTAACACAGTTCTCACATTGAACAATCTCACCGATAAATATAACAATCTACTAAATTCTGTCAATATTATAGAATGGAACAAACCAATTATATATCCGAGTTGTAAAATAGAGTCAATAACTAACACTGTTGTGATAAACCATCTTGAAAAATAACAAGATCAGGAAATATTTGATCTAAGAATAAACAATTGCTCCATAAAGGCTAGCTAGATCTACAGTAATCCTGACAACAATCAAAACTTGGTGTTAATAAACTCACCTAACTGTCATAAGTACTACAATAACGTGATATAGATAGAATAGTCCACACTAGCTCTCAACTCGTACAAGTATCTCAATGGCGGAATCTATTTAGATAACTAATACTTCAAAAATATCCTTACATAACTCATTTTCCGGTCAAACACACGAACGTGAACTCTCGTCTCCAGCAGAATACATTACAATAAAATTATATTATCGGCTGTGGAAATACTGATAAATATTACTATATTCCCAATTCACATTCCTGATTATCGTTATCAATTATAGATGTAGCTAGGAATAACTTAAACCCGGTCCGCATTCCATTCGTACTACAGTAACTATCCCGTTACAAGTTACAACCCCCGTCCGTCCCAAATAACCAGGAACACGCTAAAATTTCCATAATAAACCCACAATAAACACGTAATCACACAAAGACTACACCTAACCTAACACATAGAGACAACACAAGCTCCGGAACTGAGGAAACACCTCTTTGTCCATCGCTAACACACACCTCGACAAAACACAGCAACACACACGGCAGACAAACGCTGACTGATAGTTTTTTACAGAACTCCTCTAATTTGGAATGAAGTCGCGTGCCACTATAACTACCCCTGGAAATTGTTGGAAATGATTGGAAATGGCTGGTATTCGCTGGAATACCCTCTAACAAGCACTTAAGTTGTGTAAACGTTGTAGAACCGTAATGAATATCAACAAAACATAAACATAACTCTGAGAACTCACATACCTTTACTGAAATGACCGTGAATTACTATGTATCCACACCGGAAGTGTTCTCAATAGAAAATTCGAAACTATACTCAGCCTAGCTCTGCAGCTGTCACAACAAACACAATGGCCAATATCGGTAACATGTGCTTCAGCCCACCGATTACGTGACGGTTTTTACAACGGAAATCACCGAGTAAGTAAAGCGTAAATAAATCTAAGTAACGGCTATCGTTATATTTGGAGGAGTCAATCACTTAATAATTTGTAGATTTACGACTAAAATCTGATATAATGCCTTTTTGTCATAATAAGCTTTCTAATGTTGGGGGTGTTGATCGCTATACAAATTCCAAAATATGTTTCAACTTGGATGAATCTGGTATATTTAAAATATATCATTTCTTAATTTAAACAGGTCTTAGTAAAGCACCGGAATTATCAAGAACACTTTTATTTCCTTTGAAAAACAAGGGTTTTCTAGTCCTTTGGTGTTTGCTTTCATGTCTGTGTTTATATCAATTTTTGAATTTCAATATTTTGTTTATTAATTTTCGTTCATTTATTTAGTTATTCTATTTATTCTATTCACAACAGATATGGCACCTTTCTTGATAAAGCCTTTTTTGGAAGCGGTAACGGATCTATATTTGTGGATAATCTGAATTGTTCTGTTGACCAATCTCCAATGTTCTCCAAAGGCCCACATACATTGCAACTTGGGGGAAAGCTTTGTCGTTTTAGCGGATGGGGTGTAAAAAATTGCAGTCATCATGACGATGTTGGAGTCGTTTGTGAAGGTACATTTTATCTGCTGTTATAAACAATTACTGCATTCGCATGTTTGATTGTCTTGAAACGATACTCAATTTGTGTACAATATCGTTCAAACAAAGTGGAATTAATGACAACTTTTGCATATTGAAAAACAATATACTTCGTTCACACCACTTAATTTACAGCTATCAGCTATCCGTAACTATTATAAAGCTGTATATGGAAATGATCGGCATTTGACAGAAGTATCAACCGGCTTATATATCGCTTATTTAATGATCCAGACATAAACGTTGTCAACAACTCAACTTAAATAAAGATACCCCGAAGTCTCGACAGATTTAGATTACATATTATGAAATAACTAACGAACTGCCCAAGTAAATATCATACCTATCATAGGTAGTAAGGGAATCATGCTAATATATTCATAATTTCTTGATTATGAATAGAAGATATTTTTTTAATTTGACCTGAACGATGCTTGGTCCTATTATTATGAGTTTATTGAGGGGAAATTCAATTAAGACGAAACATTTGATATAATATTTTAGAAAAAGAGCTGTTAAAATATCTTTATCTTATTAAGGCATGTTTATTAATAGATGTCAAATTGATCAGTGAAGTGCTTACATTTAGATATTAATTAAACGTATATATACATCTATAAATATAGTAGAATGACAAGTTCTCTCATTAGTGTTAAAACATACAGTAATGCAAACAAACATTCATACAACAAATCTATCAAAAAATGTTCTTGAAATCCATCTATCTTTTTCATTTATGAAAAAACCATAGCATGATACGCTTCTGTTGACGGGCCAAAATCTACCCTCATTATAATATGCATATACATTTTGATATTCAAAGACAAGAAAAATGAAATGTATGAAATGTATTTATTGTTTTACACATCAGTGTGTGAATCCTGCCAATCGCGGTGTCACTGTAAGTCCTCTGGTTGTGACTGGCAAACTCGTGTCTGTAAAAATCAGGAAAGAGGATGTTTGGATGGATGGAGAGGAAGGAGATGTGACCAAGGTATTCTATAAATCCATTTTAATAAAGAGGCACGGTAGTCCAGTGGTAGGACGCCGGGCTCGTGACCGAAGGGTTGAGGGTTCGAGTCACGTCACTGTGTTGTATCTTTAAGCAAGATACTTTACTCCGTTTGTTCCAGTCTACTCAGTTGTAAATGAGTACGTCGTTGGGCAGTGCTAGAATTGTTGAATGCTAGCTGTGAGCGCCGAAATGGGAGCACCGGCTGTATGCTCTCCAGGGAGTTGAGAAATATATTGGCTGGTTGCAAAGACCCTATAACCACGGATATTAATTTGTGAATCGCCTTGAGACGAACTGGGTTGTGATACGGCGCTATAAAGGAATTTCGGATTATTATTATTAAAAGCGACATAAATTCGAAACGTCAAAATATGTTTATAGAGTTTCAAATAAAGCAGTTACATGCCATATTGACTAGTATGGAAATCAGGTCGCCATATCTAATGAAACTTATGGGTTAAATAAATTATACCTAGCAAATACTATACGTTACATTATTCAACATGTGGTGAATCCTGCTTTTTGAGAACTTGAATTCCTGTTCCAATTTACTGAATATTTAGAATTTTAGAATATTCATAATTTCTAGTTGGCTTTTCTGTCACTTACTTTACCTATAGCAATCACACCCTTCTGTTTGTTGATACAGTTCACATTGTTTAGTGTATTCAATTCAATATAAATATATTTCCAAAATTCCGTTTCATCTTACGTGCCAGAATTCTACAATACATGTTTGGCATTTCAGTATGAAATTAACATAAAAATTGTAGGTTACATGAGCGAACAAACAAAGATAATATCTTAAATGAAGACAATTTTCAATTTACTGGCCTAGCAACTTAAGTCCATTTAAAACGGCACATGGATGTTACGCAAACGGTTATCCCGTGTGATATAACGTTACGGTGCTTAGTGTCGTATGCTCCTTTGCATGGATCTTATTACATGTCTACAAGTCCACCATTAATTTTCCCTGTACTTTGAAAGGAATCGCCGTAAAACACCATTAGCTTCTTTACGCGTTGTCACAGACGCATTTATAGAAACACTGAAGAGTACTCTCTTTTTTCCGCTCAGTACCCCTTGTAACCAAAGTAAAAGTTGAAACACTAACGTTTTGTATACGGAAAATAACTCGAACAAAGTCAATATCGGAGTGCATCGTAAAAAAATAACTACTAATTGACAAAATGATGCAATTTAATGCAAATAATAAGTTAATTCTCCCGGTTATTTGCTTTTGTCGATGCGCTGGGCGTATTGTATGTTTTTTGTACATTTACATGTACTATGAACATAGGTGAAGCGGTTACGTAAATTATCTTATCAATTGTTTTAAGCAATAAATGACTTTAAGCTGTACAAAATACTTATTTGATCTATACTGTATGGTAGCGGAATTTACTTTACCAAGTAACGTTTCCATCTTTTAGTTTGTCTATTTTCATATGCATCTACAGAATGTGACAGAGGATCTAAGAGATCTAAGAGTGTTTTAAGTGATACTTAACAATGTAAAACTCTGCAAACATAGCTACCCCTTACCATTGTATTGTTTTAAGTCCAAGTATATTGTTGAACACTTACCCATTTGATGAATTGTTCGGTGTAGAAACAATGCATCTATAAATGTATGTCTATTTCTTTTCTAAGAAATATATGTTCTATGTTACAGTGTGTGGACAAGGAACATTCGGCCAGTCCTGCTCCTCGAGTTGTCACTGTAGAAATTCGGGTTGTAACGCTGTGACCGGCGTTTGTACACACCAGAGAAATGGCTGTTTGGAAGGATGGAAAGGAGTTAGGTGTAATCAAGGTATTTGATACTATGCTACATATATTCGCAAATACGGTCTATTGATTGTGTTTCAGATCAAATAGAAATGTATTTAACAGTGTTATTAATGTACTGCTATATTTTATGACTGGTTCTGTTGTAAACTTATCACCAAATAAAATGTGTCACAAAAATTAACCAAATATAGCGACTTTGGTATTGAGAAGCAATTTCCGTATCGGACGAAAAGTTGGTGGCATCGATGAATTAGTTGACGCCCCGATTAGTTCATTCCAATGACATTGGATCAATGCAAGGTTTAACTACATACAATATATCTTATTTATTCATTTATGGTAATATATTAATAAGTTAAAGATGTAATTCTTAATAAAATATTTAACTGTCTATCTAGCGGATACAATGTCACTATTGTCAAGAATTTTCATAAACTTATTGCTAGCTGTATTTTATATTTTCCAGATTAATAGAACACATCATATCAGCTTTAACCATTTTTATTCTAGTATCAAAATAAACTTTTAAAAGTCATTAAACAATTCTACTTCTGCATGTTTAATTTCCCTTAAAATTAGAAATGGTACATGGAACGCCTCAAAAATTGCAAATGCAAATCTGGTATTCCATGTAGCATTGCTTCAGTAAGGTGACCTAATATTAAGCACAATTGACACATAGAACGGGGTCAATATAATCAAATTCAGTTTTAAATATATATATATAGAATAAATAAGATTAACGACCGACTAAAACACTAGCTGCTTCCATCCTTCACAGGGCTCTTCAGGTTTCCAATTCCATCTTGATGTACCGTGATCAGCGGACCTTTTGGTAGTCGACGTTCATATATATATGTAAATATATATATTGTAAATAAAGACAAAATGTTAAGAGTTTATATGACTTGGATATTTTAAGATATCGGAAGTGCTATTTGCTCAAGCACTTAAATAGGGGGAAAATATGAAGCCAAATTTTACCCATAGTCCTAATTCGTAAAAACATTATCAGTAAAAATAAGAAACTTTTTATCTCAGATTTACGTTCATTGTGTATATTTGAAGTGTTCCGTAGGAAATTGAAAAATAATGTTATTCATTTCCGGATTGGTATTCTGTATGTTTCATGACATTAATGATTTAAAAATAATTCTCCTGTTTAATATTGCATATTGCAGAAATCAACCTACGATACTATACTTTCAAATTAAAATGTGTTGCTCCCATTGTTTCAATAAAATAATTTACAGAAGTGTTCTAGTTTGACAATAAAAAGGAAAACAGTCCATTTAATAAAGTATCAATATAATGTACAACGCAATCTCAAAAAAGCTTAATTTTGTATTTGTATCTTTCTACATAGCATGTAGCGAAGGCAAATTCGGCAATTCATGTAGCCAACATAGTCACTGTAAGGTACCCGGATGTCACAGTATAACTGGCATGTGTAAAAGTGGAGGCTGTTTACCGGGATGGAGGGGGACATCTTGCTCACAGGGTGAGGTTTGTTTTCCAGTAGATAGATGAGTTAATGCCGTTAACGAATTGATGTTTTCCTATCTATATAAATTAAACAAACCAAGCCACACAGGATCAGATTCGGCTACATAAACTTAGATTACACACGACATTGCATCCTTAATTGAAATAGAAAAATCAAAAAATCTTAATCAAACGAATATCCCGCTATTTTCCAATGAGTATTTTTGTTGTACAGTTTTACTTATTGACATTGTTCATAGAACGGCGCTCCATCTGTTATGAAAATGCATGGCCCTTGCAAGAGATACATTTTTATGATATACATATTCTGCATTGCAGTATGTGCACCAGGAGCATTTGGCCAGTCCTGCTCCTCCAGATGTCAATGTAGAGCCACAGGGTGCGATCCAGTAACAGGCGTATGTACAACCCAAGGAAGGGGGTGTTTAGAAGGATGGACCGGAGTTAGATGTGATCAAGGTAGTCAATACATTTGTAATTGTGTGAAGTGTCGATCAATTTTCAAAGGAAACAAAAGGAATTTAAATATCAACAATTTAAAGAGCATGTAGTGCTGTACCTATAATTACCATTGTTTTAAGAATTTTATGAAAACATTATACACAGGGGATATTAGATCATTAGATCAGGTTGATTGGATTGGAAAGAAGTTTTTCGTTTAACTCAATATATTTGATGGATTCAATTTTATTTGAAATCTTTTTCATAAGTTTTGTCTCAGATTTTACGGCACTGTGTAGTGTATACTTAAAGTCGCCCGTTTTATATTGATCAACGATACCATCCAGTCCCCGATTGGTATTAAGTGTGTTTTATAGCAATAATGAGTTAAAACAAGATTCCTATTCAATATAATACATCGTATTTAGGGCAAACATTTGTCAAAACAAATATGAGGTTTGTCAAATTCCAGATAATTGCAGACATCAACTCTTCATTAAATACCTTCAAACCAAGATAGAGAACTGTTATTAGTGATGTTCTGAATATTTCACTTGATAAATTGACAGAAATGTTTTCTTTGATAAAAAAAAACGCCTCATCGTTCATTAAAGGGGCTGGTCGGGGAAAAAATGTCATATTTGCTAAAATGGCATACAACTGTTTAAAATACCTTCTTATGAAATATACCCATTCAAATTTTGCTGAAATTCACTCCCTAAGAGTAAAAATTATAATAACATTAAAGAAATCCTAAATCGTCACCTGACAGTCTAAAACTCTCAATTGACCCAGATCAGTGATGTAATTTTACCGCACGCGCGTCATTAACAAGGCCAAATGTAAACATCGCGGCGAAAGAAAAAGATGCATGCAAAAGTCATGACAGGCACGAGGTATCAATACCGTTATATATAACAACAACATATAGGTAGGAATACTACACTTGCATCATACATGACCTTTGAAAACAAATATTTACGTATAGTATTGCTGTCTTGTCCGCTAGTTGAGTCCGACATGGCACATGACGGCGTGCTATTGTTGTTATCTTCACTGCCTCACTTTCGAAACAACCACGTGATATATATAAATAGATCGGCGCTAAATTTACGCGGGGCGTCCCCGAGATTTCAGTGGTCAAAACTGGACATTGCAAGCAGAACTCGACCATCATATTGCCGTCGTATAACTTTTGGAAGGCCAGAGAACGCATTCAGACCCATTTATTTTGTAATTTTTTCCCCGACCAGCCCCTTTAAACAAAACATAAAAAGTGTGTATTTCACTAAAATATTTATCTCTGTATATGTATATCTTTCTACATAGCATGTAGCGAAGGCAAATTCGGCAATTCATGTAGCCAACATTGTCACTGTAAGGTGCCCGGATGTGTCAGTACAACTGGCATCTGTAAAAGTGGAGGCTGTTTACCGGGATGGACTGGGACATCTTGCTCACAGGGTAAAGATATTTAAATCGAAATTGTTGCTTTAATATTATTGCTTGCTGAACCATAGTAACTATTTGAACGTATCGAGCTTTTTATGTAAAACAAATGCTGAAAAAGTAATGACAACTTGCCCAAGTGTTGTCTCCTCATACATATTTAATTGAACATATTTTCGGAAAAGAAGTTTGGTATTTTGATAAAAAAAAAATAGTCATTATTTAATAACAATACGACAAGTACAATCAGATAATTTGGCCAAAGTTGGAAAATACCACTGCTTGAAAAAGCACAACATCCTCACTTTAAATCAAAGTCTGAAAAACAATGCTATTGAAATCACAATAAAATTTGTATAGAGATAAACGTTTTTATTTAAAGCATGTATATACAAATGCATGCTATGTAATTCCATTTCTTAACAAACAAGTTTATATAATCTGTTTATAAAAGTAAAATAAGAATTATTATGCAAAACATTTTCTTTTCATAAAGTGCCCATCTCAGACAAATAATGAAATCTATAATGAAACTTACATTTTCCTTGCATTCTATAGGGTTTTATGATAGACATGCTATTTTGCAGTATGTGGATCAGGAACATTCGACCAGTCCTATATTGTGTACATCTCAATCTCAAAAATGCTTATCCTTGTATTTGTATCTTTCTACATAGCATGTAGCGAAGGCAAATTCGGCAATTCATGTCGCCAACATAGTCACTGTAAGGTACCCGGATGTCACAGTATAACTGGCATGTGTAAAAGTGGAGTCTGTTTACCGGGATGGCAGGGGGACATCTTGCTCACAGGATGGGTTTGTTTTCCAAGAGATACATTTTTATGATATACATATTCTGCATTACAGTATGTGCACCAGGAAGATTTGGCCAGTCCTGCTCCTCCAGATGTCACTGTAGAGCCACAGGGTGCGATCCAGTAACAGGCGTATGTACAACCCAAGGAAGGGGGTGTTTAGAAGGATGGACAGGAGTAAGATGTGATCAAGGTAGTCAATACATTTGTAATTGTGTGAAGTGTCGATCAATTTTCAAATGAAACAAAAGGAATTTAAATATCAACAATTTAAAGAGCATGTAGTGCTGTACCTACAACTACCATTGTTTTAAGAATTTTATGAAAACATTATACACAGGGGATATTAGATCATTAGATCAGGCTGATTGGATTGGAAAGAAGTTATTCGTTTAACTCAATATATTTGATGGATTCAATTTTATTTGAAATCTTTTTGATAAGTTTTGTCTCAGATTTTACGGCACTGTGTAGTGTATACTTAAAGTCGCCCGTTTTATATTGATCAACGATACCATCCAGTCCCCGATTGATATTAGGTATGTTTTATAGCAATAATGAGTTAAAACAAGATTCCTATTCAATATAATACATCGTATTTAGGGCAAACATTTGTCAAAACAAATATGAGGTTTGTCAAATTCCAGATAATTGCAGACATCAACTCTTCATTAAATACCTTCAAACCAAGATAGAGNGTGGGGTTGTTTTTCAAGAGATACATTTTTATGATATACATATTCTGCATTACAGTATGTGCACCAGGAAGATTTGGCCAGTCCTGCTCCTCCAGATGTCACTGTAGAGCCACAGGGTGCGATCCAGTAACAGGCGTATGTACAACCCAAGGAAGGGGGTGTTTAGTAGGATGGACAGGAGTAAGATGTGATCAAGGTAGTCATTGCATTTGTAATTGTGTGAAGTGTCGATCAATTTTCAAAGAAAACAAAAGGAATTTAAATATCAACAATTTAAAGAGCATGTAGTGCTGTGCCTACAACTACCATTGTTTTAAGAATTTTATGAAAACATTATACACAGGGGATATCAGATCATTAGATCAGGCTGATTTGATAGGAAAGAAGTTATTCGTTTAACTCAATATATTTGATGGATTCAATTTTATTTGAAATCTTTTTGATAAGTTTTGTCTCAGATTTTACGGCACTGTGTAGTGTATACTTAAAGTCGCCCGTGTTATATTGATCAACGATACCATCCAGTCCCCGATTGATATTAGGTATGTTTTATAGCAATAATGAGTTAAAACAAGATTCCTATTCAATATAATACATCGTATTTAGGGCAAACATTTGTCAAAACAAATATGAGGTTTGTCAAATTCCAGATAATTGCAGACATCAACTCTTCATTAAATACCTTCAAACCAAGATAGAGAACTGTTATTAGTGATGTTCTGAATATTTCACTTGATAAATTGACAGAAATGTTTTCTTTGATAAAAAAACCCCCCTCATCGTTCATTAAAGGGGCTGGTCGGGGAAAAAATGTCATATTTGCTAAAATGGCATACACATGTTTAAAATACCTTCTTATGAAATATACCGATTCAAATTTTGCTGAAATTCACTCCCTAAGAGTAAAAATTATAATAACATTAAAGAAATCCTAAATCGTCACCTGACAGTCTAAAACTCTCAATTGACCCAGATCAGTGATGTAATTTTACCGCACGCGCGTCATTAACAAGGCCAAATGTAAACATCGCGGCGAAAGAAAAAGATGCATGCAAAAGTCATGACAGGCACGAGGTATCAATACCGTTATATATAACAACAACATATAGGTAGGAATACTACACTTGCATCATACATGACCTTTGAAAACAAATATTTACGTATAGTATTGCTGTCTTGTCCGCTAGTTGAGTCCGACATGGCACATGACGGCGTGCTATTGTTGTTATCTTCACTGCCTCACTTTCGAAACAACCACGTGACATATATAAATAGATCGGCGCTAAATTTACGCGGGGCTTCCCCGAGATTTCAGTGGTCAAAACTGGACATTGCAAGCAGAACTCGACCATCATATTGCCGTCGTATAACTTTTGGAAGGCCAGAGAACGCATTCAGACCCATTTATTTTGTAATTTTTTCCCCGACCAGCCCCTTTAAACAAAACATAAAAAGTGTGTATTTCACTAAAATATTTATCTCTGTATATGTATATCTTTCTACATAGCATGTAGCGAAGGCAAATTCGGCAATTCATGTAGCCAACATTGTCACTGTAAGGTGCCCGGATGTGTCAGTACAACTGGCATCTGTAAAAGTGGAGGCTGTTTACCGGGATGGACTGGGACATCTTGCTCACAGGGTAAACATATTAAAATCGAAATAGTTGCTTTAATATTATTGCTTGCTGAACCATAGTAACTATTTGAACGTATCGAGCTTTTTATGTAAAACAAATGCTGAAAAAGTAATGACAACTTGCCCAAGTGTTGTCTCCTCATACATAATTTAATTGAACATATTTTCGGAAAAGAAGTTTGGTATTTTGATAAAAAAAAAAATAGTCATTATTTAATAACAATACGACAAGTACAATCAGATAATTTGGCCAAAGTTGGAAAATACCACTGCTTGAAAAAGCACAACATCCTCACTTTAATTCAAAGTCTGAGAAACAATGCTATTGAAATCACAATAAAATTTGTATAGAGATAAACGTTTTTATTTAAAGCATGAATATACAAATGCATGCTATGTAATTCCATTTCTTAACAAACAAGTTTATATAATCTGTTTATAAAAGTAAAATAAGAATTATTATGCAAAACATTTTCTTTTCATAAAGTGCCCATCTCAGACAAATAATGAAATCTATAATGAAACTTACATTTTCCTTGCATTCTATAGGGTTTTATGATAGACATGCTATTTTGCAGTATGTGGATCAGGAACATTCGACCAGTCCTATATTGTGTACATCTCAATCTCAAAAATGCTTATCCTTGTATTTGTATCTTTCTACATAGCATGTAGCGAAGGCAAATTCGGCAATTCATGTAGCCAACATTGTCACTGTAAGGTGCCCGGATGTGTCAGTACAACTGGCATCTGTAAAAGTGGAGGCTGTTTACCGGGATGGACTGGGACATCTTGCTCACAGGGTAAACATATTAAAATCGAAATAGTTGCTTTAATATTATTGCTTGCTGAACCATAGTAACTATTTGAACGTATCGAGCTTTTTATGTAAAACAAATGCTGAAAAAGTAATGACAACTTGCCCAAGTGTTGTCTCTTCATACATAATTTAATTGAACATATTTTCGGAAAAGAAGTTTGGTATTTTGATAAAAAAAAAATAGTCATTATTTAATAACAATACGACAAGTTCAATTAGATAATTTGGCCAAATTGGAAAATACCACTGCATGAAAAAGCACAACATCCTCACTTTAATTCAAAGTCTGAAAAATAATGCTATTGAAATCACAATAAAATTTGTATAGAGATAAACGTTTTTATTTAAAGCATGTATATACAAATGCATGCTATGTAATTCCATTTCTTAACAAACAAGTTTATATAATCTGTTTATAAAAGTAAAATAAGAATTATTATGCAAAACATTTTCTTTTCATAAAGTGGGCAAATAATGAAATCTATAATGAAACTTACATTTTCCTTGCATTCTATAGGGTTTTATGATAGACATGCTATTTTGCAGTATGTGGATCAGGAACATTCGGCCAGTCCTGCTCTTCAAGATGTCACTGCAGATCGTCAGAATGCGACCCAGTAACTGGCGTCTGTACAAATCAAGGAAGACAGTGTGTTGACGGATGGACAGGGATTAGATGTGATCAAGGTACTCAATGCTTTTTGTTAATGCGGAAATAAACGAAAAATAAATTGATTTGGAAAATTTGACAAAAGATTACCGTGAATCGGGAAATTTTAACTGTGATAATATTTTTGCATATTTTGCGCAAATTCAAATTTGCAAAAATTGAACACGTAAAACCTTAATGCATGTAAAAAAATAATCCTCGTATTACCTTCAACGTAATGCCAAAGTAATAGATTACTGAACTGTGTTAACAAAAATTGACAAAGTCTTAGTCTGGGGCGATAATCTGTATGGTTCCATTGTTGTGTGGGGGGATAAATTTGTGTTTACCTGTACAAATCGGCAAATCTTGGTCAGTAAAGGAGATTTTATTAGAAGTGGATATGACACTCACCGAGTCAGCTCTGACATCTACACATACTCCTGAATGTAACCTTCCTTTCGTGAATTGCATGCAATAGTAAAGGCCGATACTAAACACGATATCAGAAGTGCTACTTGCTCAAGCACTTAAATAGGGAAAAAATATGAAGCCAAATTTTACCCATAGTCCTAATTCGTAAAAACATTATCTGTAAAAACAAGATACTTTTTATCTCAGATTTAAGTTCATTGTGTATATTTGAAGTGTTCCGTAGGGTATTGAAAAATAATTTTATTCATTTTCCGATTGATATTCTGTATGTTTCATGACAATAATGATTTAAAAATAATACTCCTGTTTAATATCGTATTTAGCGATAAGGTCTGTCAACAAAAATCTTCAATTTGATTCGATTGTTTCAATAAATTAATTTACAGAAGTGTTCTTGTTTGACAATAAAAAGGAAAACAGTCCATTTAATAAAGTATCTAAATTATGTACATCTCAATCTCAAAAAACCTTATCCTTGTATTTGTATCTTTCTACATAGCATGTAGCGAAGGCAAATTCGGCAATTCATGTAGCAAACATTGTCACTGTAAGGTACCCGGATGTCACAGTATAACTGGCATGTGTAAAGGTGGAGGCTGTTTACCGGGATGGAGGGGGACATCTTGCTCACAGGAAATTGCATCCTTAATTGAAAAAAGTAAAATCATAAAATCTTCATCAAACGAATATCCCGCTTTTTCCAATGAATATTTTTATTGTACAGTTTTACTTATTGACATTGTTCATAGAACGACGATCCATCTGTTATGGAAATGCATGTCCCTTGCAAGAGATACATTTTTATGATATACATATTCTTTATTGCAGTATGTGCACCAGGAGCATTTGGCCAGTCCTGCTCCTCCAGATGTCACTGTAGAGTCACAGGGTGCGATCCAGTAACAGGCGTATGTACAACCCATGGAAGGGGGTGTTTAGAAGGATGGACAGGAGTAAGATGTGATCAAGGTAGTCATTGCATTTGTAATTGTGTAAAGTTTCGATCAATTTTCAAAAGAAATAAAAGGAATTTAAATATCAACAATCTATAGAACATGTAGTGCTGTACCTACAATTACCGTTGTTTTGAAAAATTTATGAAAACAATGTACACAGGGGATATTAGATCATTAGATCAGGTTGATAAATAACCTGATTTGATTGGAAAAACAGTTATTCGTTTAACTTAATATATTTGATAGATTAACATTTTATTTGAAATCTTTTTGATAAGTTTTGTCTCATAATTTACGGCACTGTGTAGTGTACACTTAAAGTCGCCCGTGTTATATTGATCAACGATACCAGCCAGTTCCCGATTGATATTAAGTATTTTTTATAGCAATAATGAGTTAAAACAAGATACCTATTCAATATGATACATCGTAATAGGGCAAACATCTGTCATTACAAATATGAGGTTTGTCAAATTCCAGGTAATTGCAGACTTCAACTCCTCATTACATACCTTCAAACAAAGGTAGAGAACTGTTATGAATGAGTGTGTTATTCTGATTATTTCACCTGATATTGACAGAAATGTGCTCTTTGATCATAAAAAGCCTCATCATTAATTAAATAAAACATAAAAAGGGTGTATTTCACTAAAATATTTATCCCTGTATATGTATATCTTTCTAATATCATTGATCGCTGAACCATAGAATCTATTTAACACATCAAGCTTCTAATGTAAAACAAATGCTGAAAAAGTATTGACAACTTGCCCATGTGTTGTCTCCTCAAACATAATTTAATGAAACATATTTTCGGAACAGAAGTTTGGTATTTTGATAAAATTTTGTCATTATTTAATAACAATACGAGGATTATATTATTACAATTAGATAATTTGGCCAAAGTTGGAAAATACCCCTGCTTGAAACAGCACAACATCCATCGCCTTAATTTAAAGTCTGAAAAATAATGCTATTGAAATCACAATAAAGTTTGTATAGAGATAAACTTCTGTATTTAAAATATGTATATGCAAACGCATGCCATGTAATTCAGTTTCTTAACAAACAAGTTTATATAATCTTGTTATAAAAGTAAAATGTGAATTGTAATGCAAAACATTTTCTTTTCATAAAGTGCCCATCTCAGACAAATAATGAAAAAAAAGGGAATTTTACTACTGAATAGTATTACGCAGCATTTGCTGTTTGACATTACTTCAATGATGCTGTGTCTGTTACGTATATTTAATTTCACGGTTTTTTAATTCATAATAGACATACTCTACTTGACAGAGTGTGAATATGGAACATTTGGTCGGTCATGCTCCTCGAGATGTCATTGTAAGTCCTCAGGTTGTGACACAGTAACTGGAGTCTGTACAAATCAAGCAGGCGACTGTGAGGATGGTTGGACAGGGCTTAGGTGTGATCAAAGTATGTAGTTAATGCTTTTTCAAATATGTTTGTCATCTTTCAGCTGAAATCATATGCTTCATATAGACAATTTGACAAAAAACATTTGAAGTATTGAACGCAGATTATATCTCCAAATATATATTGTGACGTTGAATTACGGAATGCGCTAAATTAAAATACCGCTAAAATATGTCTGCAATTTTTACGAATATTTGAGTTTCATGTCTGTTAATGCTATTATTCACATCAGATTTTTTTTTTATCAAACCATGAAATTTACAACGACAGCCTTTCCTTTTGCCTTTTGTTTTAAAGCGGTGCTTTAATTTAAAACTGAAGTCTCATTCAAAAGTGACTATTTATCATATTTCATTTGAAAGATAGTCTTAAAGAGAAGAAGGAGGAGGGGGAGGAGGAGGAAAGCAACAGCACTGGATACCAAGCCGCCGTATCCGTTCTTTCTTTTCTGCTGGTTGCGTGTCCCATGCTCGTATATAGCGTCAAAAAATTCAGGTGACTTCACAAGACATCTTGCAATCTGAGACGTCAGTTTCAGAAACATATGTGGTGTTGCTCATTTATACGTGAAAAAAATAATGATTTCTATTAGTATTCTCTCTTGTTACAATCTGGTCTAAGGCTATTTAAATATTCTTTGTATGCAATACCATAGCATGGTTAAAATGTTTTGTAGGAGTCTAGAACGTAATGCATATTGCCGTTGAAACTGCTGAAAATTGGTAAATTTCTCTGAGTAATCAATAGTGCGTTTACAGTTGATCTTTTAATAAATACTTTAACGAATTATTTTCTTTTATACTGGGATTTAACGACACAAACACAATTTAATAGGTATGTAGTTTTGGATTATGAAAAAGCCCATGCAACCTTTTTCCAATAATCAACTCTTTTTGCAAGTTTAAAATAAAGCTGGACTTGTGGACAAATTAAAAATTCATTCAAGTTAAAATGGCACAACAATTGGTCAGAAACTATGACATCAGCTGTTGATATCAGCTTGTTGGTGAAATGAATTTACGATTATTCCGGTCACGTCGCATTATAAGCACCAAAAGTATACACGTAAATATATTACTTTTTATTATCAGTAGTAGAATAGATATAATCAACATTTATTTGTGTATTTTGGTGTTATATAAAAGTGGAAATTCAAAAACAGTTGGGAAAATAATAAAGTACATCCTTTGCTACCTTTGTCAATTCCGTGTTTCTACTATTTGCGAATTCACAATGATACATAACAATATCATGTTTAAACAAAGGTTGAGTGTTTTTGAAGTATTACAAACAAGATTATGATTTTTGAATATCTAAGACAGAATGAGTGAAAGGCAGAGCAATGGTGTTAATCGAAGCCCGCTCAATGCCTGTCATTCATGAACGGACAGTGACTTTGAACCAGCCTATCACAGTAATAATCGATAAAGTTGTGTCTTTTATATTTTAGAATAAGCAAACAAAACAATCTATCAACATATGATAACACCGAAAGCTCGTTATAGTAAACGTGAGTATAAATAAAAAATGTGTGTTATAATCAAGCGTGTTTTTTTTCAAATGCATTTACAAATATTTTAATAATATAAGCAAATTTACAAGAGGGAAACTTTCAGTTATTATATAAATTTCGCATTTTCATATCGAAAATATATACTATTAGAATGCTGAATGGCATTAAATGATGTCGACATTGTGGACAAAATAAGGTAAAGTTTTCGGAGCAGTCTGTCCCTTTTTCCAGACGTACAAGAGACAGTAAGAAACGAACTATACATTTCAAAAACATGCATTTAAATATTAAAGAAAGAACAGCTGTATAATGACAATATTTTCAACCCAATACCAGGAATTCCTACGAAAAAGTTGATGAGTCGTCCTAAAACGAAACAGTTCGTTAAAACCGTTATTGTCGACGGTATAAATACAAGTAATAAAAGGTACTTAATCATAGGAAGATGTAGTTGATGTAATTGAAATAGCAAAGGAATTATGTTCCGGAAAAAGGGAGTCATAACTCTGCATATAGCGGACATAAGATCCTAATTTAGTAGCTACGCTTCCCTTTCCCATAGTGAGTTTAGTGAAAGTTGGTTTAAAAGCGCAGCCAGCCAGCCAGCCAGCCAGTCAGCCAAACAAAGACCACACAATTGTAAAAGACGGGCAAATAAAAACAACACAGGAAATCGGTATAGGAATTAAAATATATTTTGATTTCGTAAATATACATGAAAAAATTATCCTAGCTTTTACATTCATCAAGACGCATATTATTAGCAGTTTAAGGGTTACGTATTTTAATTATTATTTAAATATAAAAGATAATGTAAATTACATAAAATTAACTATTCATAAAATCAACTATATGAATATGGTGACAAAAAATGTTAAATGTTTTGCATGATTTAGACAGCCCTTCAAAATAAAAGAAATATATATAAGAATGAGCTAAAACTTGACTTTGAAAAGAAATTGAACTGCAACTAACAGGTACATTATATAATATTCAAAACCTTTTAATGCTTAAGAATAAATATTTTGGCAAGTGATTTATATTATGTGTATATTTGATTACAGGAACTCGAAATAGTTCGGGATACGACTTGCCGGAGGTCAGAGCGTAAAACTTCTCCACCCTTGTAGAAGACCATCAAAATAAAGTTTTTCCAAACCTGATTAACTGTTCATAATCTTAGATCATAGGTCATACTAACAACATTTCTGTATGTAAGTTGTGAACCAAAGACATTTTAATTTTGAAAATTAGAATGAAAGGTTCAAGTAAAGGTATGCTATTACTTCACTATATTAACTTTACTTACAAAAGTAACTTTCCTGTTAAATTTGTTATTCCCAGACAGATATAGAGCATATTCACTGCCAAACTTTTGTTGCTCAAGACTACTACATGCTGGCGACAAACATGAGATTAAACAGATATACAGAATTTCAAGACAATAGGCAGACAGTGATATTTTCAATACTGTTATATCAGTCCGAGAAAGACAGCATTAAACGACAATTCGTTCAGGTTTATTTGTGTCGTCACACCATTTCATAAATGAGTAACATGTGTATCTTTTATGACAATGAATCTGTTATTTGTGTGCTCAAAATATATCTCCTGAATGTACAAGTAACATTCACAGGGTATGACTGTGTTGTATAACACATGGTGAAATGAAATTCCGTACGAGTAATTAGTATTTAGATAAGTCAACCAATTGGCTAATTTACACAGTAATTACAACAATAGAAATAAGTAATGATGATTCTTTGTGGTTTTCACAAAGATGATAAAATGTCATCTGTAATAAGAGTCTCATTGTCTATATTTGTATGGCGTTTTGACTTAGATAAGATTAATAAAGAAAAGCCTGATTTGTGCATCTGCTTCCAATATAAACTGTTTTTAGTGATTTTTATTATTACGAACGTTTTAAATTCAATATTGTTATCATTGAGGTATTGTAATATGCACAAAATATAACAATGCAAAGAAAGCATGCAATAGGTGATGCGTGTTGGAAACTTTGAAACATTTAAAAAAGATGTAATTGAACGTAGATCAATACTCACATATACGTTTAAGTCTTTTGGATTGAAACAATTTTTCAGACAGTTCAAAGTTAAAGACTGGGATGTCGTCAGGCAATTAAGGCCACAATGCAAGATTATATGTATATACTATCTCACTTTGTTTTCAGGGTTTATCGTGAGAACAATTTCCTCACCTCGAGCACACGGATAAAATCGAGAGGTGATCATCGCATATTCGAACAACAAACCCTGAAAACACTACAGTGTGTATACGCTCTCTATCGCACAAATTCGTCACATCGTTGTACAGGTAAACAATACAAATCTCTCACTCAGTCCTAGCTTGACAAAGGGACCTGTCGGTCTTGAAACGTTGCGTCACATTTAATACGTTCATTGTTTATGTATGTATAAAGTAAAACTTATTACTTCTTTCCAAACTGAAGAATCTTATTGAATAGATAAGTTTGTGTAAACACAACGCTAACTTTACACCTGAACACATCCTGTTGCGATATGTCACGTAGCCTCTTAGACAGAGGTTGTATATCTTAGGCTTGTCCAGCCTTCCATTTATTTCCAATATAGGATTTTATTTGTAGTGACTTACCACTTAGATACGTCGTAGATACCACAATGTTCAATACATAAGGTAAATATTCTACCAGATTGCACTGGATGAGTTGAACAGGTAATAAATGTGTTGCTCGATGACGTAACACTATCGTAAGAGTTTGATCTTTATGTCAATATATCGCAGAACTGTCATTACAACGTTGTAATCCGCCGTCCCTATATATCACTATTTTAACAGCTCATAACTCGTTTATATGATGTCTTGTTTTCTCTAAGCGGCTCACGTTGAAAGCTTGCTAACACTGGTTCGGCTTACCTATCTCCGAAAAAAATTGTCTTCATTAAAATTTCTATTGAAGTTATAACGTTGGCAAATGTCAAAGAATTTCTTACAGCATATCTTTGTTAAGAGCCGGTTGTTTAAAGTCCTGATAGAAGATAAATTAATATACATAATCGTATCAATGTTTTGAGAAGAAAACATATCATCACATTGCTATGGTCAAAATTTTACATCAAATCATATTGATAGTTGGACATTCTATCTGAAGTAAATGTTAAATAGCACTCTGTATCGCGCAGCCGTTATAGGTTTAATCACCCAGCCCATAGACTATAAAAGATTTATTCTTTGTCACGCCCATGTACCAGATATGCAAAACTGAGCTAGAGTTAACCCGTGGTAAGGGAAAATTTCAAATATGAATATAACAAAGATAAGAAAATCTGATAGCAATTCATTGCTATATATCAGAGTAGAATGATGTGTTTTGAGGACAAATTTCGCTTTGAAAGTCTAGTAAACGTAAACCAACCTTTGTGCAAATAGGGCTATCCCTTGAGGATCCGTAATGATATATTACCTGTTGGATATCCACTGCAAGTGAGTAGGGTTGTAAAATACTCAATATCAGTAAACAGTAAGGAAACACCTATTTTAATAATTTTAAGTAGATAGCAAATCAAAGTAAACATGCACAACACAAATTTACAACTTACGGCTACAACAAATGTTTTCCTTTTAAATTACTATTTTGATTAAACCATGCCGGAAACAAAATATAACCAGCGTGACGGATAATCCATCAGTAGAATCGACCACTTTGTGAAGTCAAATAGTTTTTAGAAAATGTGAAATTCTTATTTACAAAACTAATATGCAGAAAGCCAATCAGAGCAAACATTTACAGAACCATATCGTCGTTTCGTCGGTTCGTCCATTTAGGACATCGGTTGTAGAAAGGGTTAAGAATATAAAAACCCATAAAGTATCCGAAATATCTGTAGAAAAACAGCAAAAATAACCTTTAATAGCATTTCATATTACCAAATTTAGGTGCGATAGATCATTTTCTTTTATACCAGTATTTCATGAAACTGTGTAGAATGTTATGAACGCGCAGTAAAGATAAGTATAGGATAATAATATACTTGATTTACCTTCGCAATGTCAACGTCACCACAAATCTGGGCAAGGGTTGATTTATCCGTTTCATCGATAAGGGTATTTGTACAAGATTTAAAAAAAAAAAGTTTATTTGAATAGCAAACCACAGAAAATGATTTTGCTTTTTATGTATAAGGAATTTTTCGAGTGCATTTTTTTCATCGTAACCCATACATGTTGAGTTAGCTTAAAGGTAAGGCTGTGATATTTAATATAATTGTAATGTTTATTTTCCCATAATACATTCAAGTAAATAAAATAAAACTGATTATATGTACGTTATTTTCCTTCAATGTAATATACAGAAATATGTAATACACGTCAGTAAACGAGATTTGCCTGATATTTATTTAACGTAAGGGACAAATATATAAAATATCAACATGTCTGAATAATGTACAATGGAAATACGATGTCACCGTTAGCATGTATTTGGCTGGAGGATTCTTCTCAATAAATCTCCTGGATTAAATGCAGAGTTATTGAGCATACCATGAATTATGGTAGCCATGGCAACGTTGAGTGTAACCTATGCAGCCCCTCACATACATACTTTGTCTACGGTGGAATTATTTTTCTTTATAAACAGTCCGTAAATCCGCATTACTATTTTAGAAATTATACATCTTGTCTCAACTTCACTTTAGAATATCGTAAAAGCGGAAAATGACTTTACTCAATTGTTACGTCAAAACACTGCTCGTCTTGTTTAAGAAAGCAAGAAATTTACATAATGTTTTTTATCGACGACAAAATAATGACGTCACGTTACCTTAGCGTAAAATGGCACTTACATGTTTGGCACCTATACAACAAGATTCAGCCAAAAGAAAGTTCGTCTGCTTGAGGTAATAAAACAACGTGTATTCGCATAACCTTGACAGGTGTATCCACACTTTTCCTGGTGTTAGATATCCTTGTCGCACCCTAGGGTTGAGGCGGGGGATTCCCCTATTAACCAATATGTTGGTCATAGTTCATGGATGTGACGATAGATGGACTGGCTATTCCTGTAGTCGAGGTATCAATCCAGGTACTGTGGAATGGTAGGCATCCCTATACCAAACATAGTATCCTTTATCTAATAATATCAACAAAGGTATAGTTCATTTCACACTTTTGATCAAAGGATAGTCTCGTTCAACCAGACTCTTGTTGTCTGCGCAAGCTACGCCGTACAGAGAGTCTGGTCAAACCCAGTGCTATCGTTTTGTGAAGTCATAACGAGGCTTACCAGAATTCTGGCAAATTATTTAATTGGTCAAAGGCTGACACACCTTTTTCACCTTTTGAAGTCAGAATTTGAGTTGCGCAAAACTACGTTGAATATTTTAAAAATTACCTGTACATGCATTCCTGAAGTATCCGTGTTTTCACCATTATCGAGAAAAATGTAAGAAAATGCCCCAAAAGAATGATTTTACGTATTTTCATTGGATATTTTACAATATTTCATGAAGCTAACAAGGCTTTTGATACAAGTCGAGTCAGATTACCTGAGTGAGAACCTGTAGGTGTTTTGAATGGTGCACAGGTAAACTCTCACTGGCTTTGCATGTTGTTTTTTTCCATCCTCAGTTAGCCTTGTTTGCTTTGTGCTCAGTTAGGATTTATTCAGTGGAAATATATGGCATTATCTGGAGATTTGACATATTTTCTTACATTGTTCTCGATAATAGTGAATACACAGGTACTTCAGGAATGCATGTATAGGTAAAAAAAAATCATTAATTTCATTGTTTTAATGGCGTTGACATAACGTCCGGAAACGTAAGTAAAAACACTGCCCTCTGGTGATGGTATTCTTAAAGTACTGTGTTTGACCAGACTCTTGAAGCGTCTTGTTAAACGAGATTAATCAAAGGAAAACAAAATGTATCTTTTTTTTCTATACATTTTCTTCAGGTTGGTAAGTATGGATTATGAGAAGTTCTTTTACACAACCAATAACATTTTCTATGTGACGTTTCGATGACTAGTCCGATATGTACACTGTCACCTTCATCAGACAAATCGCCAATGAAGCGTATGCACACAAAGGGTGTAAAACGTGTACGAGTTGTCCATAAAATCGATGTCGATTTCGGCTACGCTGGAAACGTATGTACAATAGTTGTTATATATGTAACGAAATGACTCAATTCAGCTACGCTTTGTTAACACTTGGTCATAGATGTGCGAGAGTCTTTGAGCCCCCTTGTCTCGATTTAGAACTGGCTCACTGCGGCGTATCCAGATGGCTTAATTTTTCTGCTGCTTGAACAGATTGCTCTCTCTGGCCAAAACTTTGGAGCTATCCCAGTCAATCACATGTTGTTGTTTTTTGTCCGGCATGGTCTATGATTGCCGATTTATTTATCTGGGACTCCGACTGTCGCAGTTTTTGCATCCGATTTTGTATACGCATTCTGCGACGTTTTCTTTAGGTGTTTTATCCTTAGGTTGTACTAGGATATTGCGTAGCGTCTTGTGGGGCTTCATGGCTGTTGCTATGCCATGACCGCGATATATTATCTGGATGGTTTCAGATATGCCCTTTATATACGGGATAACCACTTGACCTTTGGTTTTGTTCTTATCCTTGATTGGCCTTTTCTTGGTCCTCTCCTCACTATTACTTATGCATCAGATGTTCCATGCACAAATTGGCAACGATGGGAGACACTGGACTGCACATAGCAGTGCCGAAGCGTTGTTGATATATGTTGTTCCGGGAACTAAAATATGTTGTTGTGAGCACAAACTCCAGCAAATCCATGATGTCCTGAATTTAAAGGTTTGTGTTTTTGCGCCAGGATCTGTCTAATTC